GATTATTAGAATTAAACTTAGATTTTATTAGGAAAAAAATAATAACCTGTAGAAAAGACCAGTTTCATCCATATTATAAATTCTTTCGGGTGGATAATGTTCACACTTATTTTTCATTCAAAATATTTAATTCGTGATACACACATATATATATGTATGTATTTAACAAAATCTTGTTATTGTGTTAATAACACGTTACAAAGATTTCTAAATCTTGCATAATAAGTGTGGAATCTCACTAACACCATTAACAAGATTGTATCGGCGGCCCATATGCTGTTGTGTGTTAACATTAATTTTAAAATGTGGCGCAGTATCTACTTTTTGCGCGTATTATACTCGAAAACAATCTCCTTCCCTTCACTAGTTCCAATACTGCCGGTACCCATAATACTGAGCATCAAGAATGTGTTAACGATTTGGTCTTGAACCATTATCGAAAACTGTTCAATATAATTATGGAGATTTGTAAATACGCAAACTTTTACCGCGAATCATGATTCAAAGATAGATAAAAAATTTTTTTAGCAACGTTCAAACTGGCATAGCGATAATTGCATAACTCCTTTAAAAGTTGTCAAGGAAAATAAAAAATCTTCAGTTTTATAGTATTTTTTCAACAGTTATAATAATTGTCATCAAAAGCTACTAAAACATCCAAGAAAAAATAACAGATTGGTGGACAAGAGTATTAGAAACATAATCAAATATTTATTTTCTAATAATAATAAGACTTCAGGTCAATTTGTTTCTCTTTTCTAATACAATTTTATTATTCGGTATTAATTGGCTAAATCCACTATATTGGGACTCGAAATAAATTAGCGGTCAGATCATAAAATGGAAGAAACAAACAAAAGAGGAAAATGAGCTCTTCCAACTGTAATTATCGAGAAAATCAAATCAGTAAATTATATTAAAAATAATGAATGAGTGATGGGACTGATAATTATTTAGAACTTAATTCCATTTTAAAGAACTATTGGTTATGCACAAGGATGTTGCAAAAAGCAATACCGAATTGATTGAAAAATAGAGGCAAATGGATAGCATTAAGTGTTCCCTCATCATAGATAAGTTAATTAGGTGATGTAATTTAAAGAGATCTCATCATATAGTTATAAAAATTTATTTTTAAATAAATATTTGATGCTTTATTTGATAAATAGGCAAATATATATTTAAATATTATTATATAAATAATAATAATAATAATAATAATAATAAATATTTTTTTGATTTTTTTTTTCAATAAATAGATGTAATAAATGTATAATAAATAACTATAATAATAAAAATTCATGCATAAATATATATATATATTAATGATAATAACAATAATGATATAATATAACAACAGATAATGGATATATAAAGAATAATATAACAACAGATAATGGATATATAAAGAATAATATAACATATAATAAATATAAAGGAATTTAAAAATTCTTATTAATAAGAAAATTGAATTTGTTTCTCTTTAATATTTTTTTCCCTAAACCCAATAAATAAAAATTGAAATTGAATGAATGAATGAATGAGTGTGAGTGAATGAGTGAATGAAATACAAATTAATTAATTAATTAATTATAAAGCAAATATAAATAAATAATAAATAAATAAATAAATAAATAAATAAATAAATAAATAAATAAATAAATAAAATTTGTTTTTTTTCTTTTCCCGCAACTCATAAATAATTAAATATTATTGCCTTATTTGAATAGGATTCTCTTTAACAAGGTTGGGTGAATGATATGGTTCAGCATAATCACGTTGTTGAGGTGCATTTTGATGCTGATGACGTACTATTTCATACTTTTGCCCTGATTGTTGACTATGATTATTATAATCATGATGTCCATTAATTCCATTATATACGTTAGAACTGGAATTTACACTACTGCCAGAACTATTACTAGCGTTAGAGCTAGTAATAATATTATTATTACTATTGCCAGCAATAAGATCAACATTACTAACAATGCCAACGCCTACTCCGACACCATTATCCATAACACCAACACTACCATTATTGGTGGTATTATTACCGTTAAAGCTATTATAACCACTACCACCACTAACTTTATTTTCTCCTACTTCACTTATTGGATTTTGCATTTTCTTTGATTTAACAAAATCTTCACATCTCTTAAGAATATCTTTTGTTGTCAGCACTTCTGGATTACTAAATAAATCTTGAACTTCTAAAATTGCCATTAAATCATCAGGCACCTTTTTTATTTTATTTTATTTTGAAAATGATAGTTGTAAGAAATTAATTTGTTGCTTATTCAGCTAATTAAAAAAGAAAAGAAAAAAACCTACCACCCAAAATTCATCTTGATATTTTAATAAATTATGAACAGCTTCAATTGCTAAAAATGATTCATCTTTTGATGGATCTTTTGATTTTGAATAAAGAATATTTGGTGTTATAACTGTGGCAAGATTATGAAGATCCATTTTACTACCTGTCTCTTCGTCAACATGGGAAAATGATGCTACCCATTTAAAAAATATGAAGAGTACTTCCATCGTATCACGATTTATTTTTGGTAGTAGACAACATGCAAGATGTAAAATTTTCTTTCTATCTGATTCATTATCAAGTTCTTTTTTTTTTTAAAAAAAAAAAAAAAGAAATTTTAATTAAATTTAAAAGGAAAATTTTAATTAAATATAAAAAAAAAAAAAAAATTATATAAATTTACTTTGTGAAGTAATAAAAAGCTTATGTAATTTAAATGTTAACAATGGTTCTGGCAATTCTCGTAAAAATTTTTTCATCAATGCTGCTACTTGGACTGGTTTATCTTCTGTCAGATTTACCATAGAAGGATGTCTGTCAATTACATCACTAAGATCTTTTAATCTTCTAATATTTCCATTTTTACGAAATATTCCTTCAACTGACATATCTATATATAAATATAAATTTAAGTAATAATCCATAATAATAATAATAATAATAATAATAATAATAATAATAATAATAATAATAATAATAATAATAAATAATTGAGAATTCTTTTTTTAATTATATAAATTACCCATTGTTTTCATGGCTGATATACTATCATCAACAAAACTTGGCACTTTTATTTGACCTGGTCCTGCACCAAGTACCGAATCAAATCCATTTTTTTCAACAAGAACATCCAGAGGTACACCAAATGTACCTATTATTGATTATTATTATTAAACCAATTATTAAGCAATAAATGGATTAGCGGATTATTATAAATATATTAAAGAAATATATTGTAAATCTAATTGCAATAGAAATGATTATATTAAAAATGATAGACTAAAGCTCCAGATAAATAAATTTACAAAAATTTCTTTTCAAGTGTAAAAACTAACTATTTTCTAAATTTCAATATTAACAATAATGATTATGATAACAACTACAAATAACCATTTTTCTTTTTCTTTTTCTTTTTCTTTTTAATAATTACCTACCTTTCTTTTTGACTGGTTTTTTCTCGGTTGGTTTAATTGATGTAACAAACTTTGACCATAGTGTTGTCTTTTTTGGTTCAATAAGATCTAGTAATTCCTCTGATGTGAAATAATCTTTCAAATATTGCTGCATCATGAGAACTGCCACGTGCTTTACAATAAAATATTCTAATGCTGAAAGTTCTGAAAAATATGATTTTGTTGTTGTTGAATCTTTGAAATTTTTTTTTGCTTTTTGTGCTAGTGTTGAATCTGATGATGATGCGTTCATTTCAGCTGCTGCCAATTCTGAAATATCACCTAGTGTAATAGCAACTTTACCTGTATCAAAATTTAGCTGATTGTCTGCTATCTCAGGATCTGGAACTTTATCCTCTGTGACCTTTACATGTCGTTGTGAAGGTGATCTGACCAGTTTATCCTTGGTTACTTCATCAGACCCATGTTGGCTCTCATTCACTACAAATCGTTTTGGAACTTTTGCTGAAGTTGACATTTTACGATCCATATGAATAGATTTCATACGCTTTATATCATTTGTGCTAATTGATTCATATTTTTTATCCCCGCTCGAATAAGATTTTGACCTGGAATCTTTACGAACAAGCTCTGATTTCTCCTTATCAGTTTTACGGCCACGACTATCATCACTATCAGACAAACTATGTTCCTCTTTATTTTGTTTAAAAAAAATTATTTTAGTAATAATAATCATAAACAACAACAAAAACAACAACAACAACAACAATAACAACAATAACAACAACAATACCTTTTCTTCTAAGCAAATTATAAAGTCTAGATAAAGCAACACGTAACAAATAGGTGTACTGCTCTAACTGTGTAACATGTTCGAATCCAACAGATGCTGGCTCCTTGGAACAATTTGGACAATACGCTGACCCATGTGTTTCATTGAATGTGGCTTCTTGATATACAGAACGTAACTCTTTTGAACAATTTGAACATCTCAAGCACCCAATATGCCAACGATGTTGTCCATACTTGTAACACTCCTCTTCTACAGTGACCCGACATGAATGACATAGATCAGAAGTGACTTCACTATCAATTGTTGATTCTCGCCCTTGACTTAAATTTTTGGTAAGCTCATGAAGCTTATTTAAAAATTTTTCTATGGCTACCTTATTATCAAAATCTCTTTCCTAATATATATATATATGTTAGGATATGACTTTATTTTAATCTAAAGTATATTATATTGGAAAAATAATTACCAATTTTAAAGCACTAGTTAAAGCTATCCTAATTAATATTTTTAAATAATGTGCTAAGCCTGTTACAAGTGATAATAATTCTTGTGTAATACCAAGTTTTCTGACACCTGTTTCTTGAGTGTGTGATAATAATGAAAAAAAATTGACTATTTTTTTACAAAGCATTTTAGCTTCACGATTATGCTGTAAACCTTTAAAATATAAAGTAATATTAATATTAATTAAATTATTTATCCTTCCTAAAAAACATATAAATTATTATACCAGCGACTTGAGCAAATAATAAATTAACTGCATACCTTGCCCACTTGCTTGTATTGATTGCATTTCTAATTCATCAATTGCAGAAAATAAAATATCTACATGACTTATAAATTTATCAGCCATCTTAACACCATCAAGATATGATCCATTCGATACATGAAGTAGCATGTCTGAAATACAAGCAGCTGACATTTCCTCAAAAGCGGAAAGTACTGTCCATATCTTGTAAACTTTTTCTTCCATTGACTTTTGTTGTTGTTTCAACTCCTCTGGTGTTATGCTGACGTCTACCTGAAGTTGTTTTTGTTGTTCATCTTGTTCTACAAAATATATATGTTTATTAAACAATGAGAGAAATTCCTTTAAATAAATATTATATAATAAAATCTATAAATATTATTTCTCTTTTTTCTTACCATTATCACCTTGTAATTCAGTTTTTTCATCTAAATGTGTGGCAAGTTTAACATTCCAAAACTTAAATTGTAACAAAAAATTATTATTCATTAATCAAATTCAAAAGTTATAAAACCAAAAATTACTATAATCATTGATTTAAGCATTCTTACCTTGTGAATCATGTAGCATTCAGGATGCCAATGCTCATCAATGCTATTACGATTTATTTCTACAAATTGTTTTAATATAGCAGTCTGGCATCCAGTACACTTTACTGCAAACCTAGTTGAATAATGATAATGACAATATACTTGACTATCGTGTTCATAATATGAATCTTGTGGGCCAAATAATGTTGGGCAAGCAGAACAAGTAAAATGTTCAATGTGATATTTTTTTTCAAGCGCTGTGATGTAAGAGCCTCTAAGAGCTCCACCGCACTTTTCACAGATGAGATTTAAACGTGCAAAGTAATCACGCTCACATAATGGATATTGTTTCCCATCTTTGTCATCCATTGGGAAAAATTTTGCTGCAACTATAGCCCCGCAATCCTATAAACACAGAATATCAATTAATTAATTAATTAATTAATTAAGCTAAAAAAATTTTTTTTTAATGATCAGAATTTCTACTTCAAAAGTTGAAATAATAGTTCAACGCTACCTGACATTTAAAGCAATCTAAATGATAAGTTCCTTCCAAAGCCCTCACAAATTGACCTACAATCATAAGTCCGCATTTCGCACAAGTTGTAAAGCTTTGTTTATTTGTATTTTGTTCTTCGGTGGCCGTCTCGTTGCGATCGGTCATTATTTTAGGAGAAAGAGGGTTAATGGTTGTTATGTATGAAGGTAACTATCTATATATTTATTTATATATTTAAAAATATTTATATTATATTTTTGTAATTTATTTATTTATTTTTTAAATTATAAAGGTTTTTTTTTTATTGCCAACTAAGGTTTTCTAATTTGCTAATTTGCTTCTTTCCTTGGAAGATTTGTCTTACCAAATTACCAAATACGAAATAAATCATTCCGAGATATACTATTTATAGTAACAACCTTTCTAAAAATAAAAATAATGAATTAACGCTATAATACCTTTTTTTTTCCTAAATTTGATAAAATCGAGTGTTGATCACTTTTTTTTTTAGTTTGCCGAATTTGGCAAAAGTTTATAATAATAACACTCGAAATATGTCGTTCTTAATTAGTGATTCGATCCGCGGATATCCGTAATCCGTTCATCGCCATTTACCATCCGGTCATTACTATTACTCAGAAAATGCATCCGTTGGATCTCGCCGGATGATCCGGTTGATCCGAATAATCCGTAGAGTTAAATAATAATAATAATAATAGAACAGATAATCCATTGGATTGGACGGATTGAGCAGAAATCCAATGAAACACATGATACTAAAGATACCCACCGTAATTAGTTAATTGCAACAACGGTAATTACCGTAAAGGTAGTTTGGTAATTATTCGCGCAGTAGTGATCATTTGCGGCGATAGTTATTTGTGATGGTAGTAATTTACGACAGCAGTGATCATTTGTGACGGCCATAACTATTTGGATAGCTACCAGTACCTAATTTGTCAAATGATAGATAGGAGGTATCTTTAGTTTAGTAACTTTAGTTATTTTAAGGATTTACGTTTAACACTCATATAAGTAGGTTCACTTTCGTTATCATTACCATTATCAATTACACAAAATAAGTAAAGAGCAAATGCTGTGAGTGTTTCGATCCTTGTAACAAAACCAACAACCTGGTAAGATGGTGTGAATGATTATGGTTTTGATCAATATGAGAATTACCAATCACTAGACAACAGGGTGTGTTGGGTCGGACCTAGGAAGAAAAACCTTATTGTTATTTGTTTCTTCGTAGCACAAAAGAATGATACTCGTTGGCAAGCTTCATAAGAAAATTGAGAACCGGTATAAAGAAATCGTACAGTGGAAAAAGTTAGTCAAATTGATATAATATTTATCTTAATTGAGTCTAACTATATCCTGGAACATTTCAACAGCTCTTCCAATTTCATCTGTCACTTCGTTTATTCAATAGAGAGAATATCTGCATTATTCTCTTGAGCATCTTCCAACACTGCTTGAAATTTCATGGTACTAGGCTTAACATGAAATTGTTACAAGAATAACCAGTGGATCGTCAAGAACAGTTGTAGCATATGGAGATGGATGTTTCTCGTTTAGCAGCCATGGAAATTCATATGGACCTAAAAAGGTGCTGTATCTACAACTGAAAAAAAGCATGTTGGACTAGGAGATATTATAACTTCAGAACTCCCATTATCTATTATCGCTGTGATGGACAAGTGAAGAATGTTGGTCGGGTTTGGCAACTTGTGACATGTATGAATACATGCATAATTTTGTGGAACTGGGACATTAATGCTTCACATAACATTCTTCGTGGCTTTATCTATTTGAACTCAAATTGTCTACAAGCGGAAACAATTACAGAGGAGTTGGGCGAAGATGAATGGGATTTGACCTCACATTACTTCAGTTGTGTAAGTTGGTTCATGATGTGGATTTTCAGTAGCAGGGATTGGAAATTCTTATTGCTGCTGTCGTAAGCTTGAGTGAGATAGCTGTAAAATCAGTATATCACACTATGTAATAGGTTAACGCTAATACCAAATAATTTTCAGCTTTGTATTATTATTTATGTATTAAATAATATAAATTTTTCTATTCTATGTAATCAATTTAATCAACTGTTAACTCAGAAACCAAATAGTGCTGGTCGCCAAAACTATTTTGAAGAGATGTAAGTCAAAACTAAAATTAAAAATTATATGTCAAAACGAAATCAAAAGTCAATAGTCAAAATCAAAACTAGTTTCGACTTATGGCGAAAACCTTTTGACTTTTGCACCGTTGCAAAACTCTCGAATTTTGGAAACCAAACCAAACCAAACCATTAGAGCTTTAACAAAAAAATCAAAAACTAGAAAGATTTAGTTGTAATAGAATTTTTAGATCTTAAAGAAGGGAACTAGTAAATATATTTACAAAAAAGAACTCATTTCCAAATTTAAGTTGTTCCAATAATAATTACCAGTAAGATTGATAATGGAATTCTATATTATCTTTAATAAAATTCAAAGTTTGAATATTATGATATATTTTAAATTCAGGTCGTTTTGATTTTACGTGATATTGAAATAAACTTTTATCTGTATAAATATTGTAAAATTATTTTAAACCTGGAGATCTTCTTTAGAACTTCAACAAACAGGATTAAAGCCACCCACAAATCTACCTGTTTCTTTAATTTCATTAAAACTATAGCTTTTGTTCAATGCTATAACATTTCTTCTCAACAATCACCCTTGAAAAGTCATCTTGAGACCCATTATTTTAATCAATCCAACCAAAAATTAATTGAAAAATTAATCTTGGTTTCCATTTATTATAACTAATATAATATTGAAGAATTCTTCATATACTTATTATTATTAAAGGTTTTTTGTATGATTTGATTTTATAATAAAAATCAATTGAAGAAATCTTATTGAATCTAATTAATGGAGTATAGTTTTCAACTCTGAAACCACTTTTTTTTAATGCTTCATTTGTTCTATTCCTATTAAATAGCATAATCCAAACATCAATTTTCAACCATCATTTCAAAATACATCATTTTTGAGTTTTCACTGATTAGATTATTACTATAATCTTAAGGCAAACTGAACAATTGATGTTTTAATGAAATTTTATGAACATAAGCTAAACTCATTGATTAAACAGCTTTGTAAGCACCCATCAAATCGTTAAAATTTAATTCATCACAGGAGAAAACAAAACAAATGCAGCAGCAGAAGCATCCTCGTAAGTATTATTAGAGCAATATTAGCAACCATTAGTTCAAGCTCCAGTTATTGCTAGAAAATATAAAATGGTTTTCAAACCGTGAATCAAACAATAATTTATAGTAATTTTGAAAATTATGAATCTGGTGATATTTATATTCGGGTAAAACATTTCATTCTGATTACAGTCAAATAATTGTAAGTACTAATATCTATATTCACGGATCCAGAATTGGGTTGGTTGGGTTGAATTGAGATCGGATTAGCACTTTAGCCGATCCAAGGAAATATTGAATGCCTCCCTTCCCCTTCTAAAAATGCCTTGATATTTTTTTACCCTATTTGGTTGTAATGTATTTTCCAAAGATGAGAGTTATTACAGAGTTCAACACGAAATGGAAATCCCACACATTTTTATATGGGAAGGTCTTGGATGCCTTGTTTATAATAAGGAATATCAGATTAGTATAAATAAACACGCAAGTTTTTATTTTTTTAATTATACAAAATGGAAATTTAATTGTATTTGATCAATATAGTCCAAGCGATGCAAATAAGTTTAGACAGAATTTAAGGAAATTAAAGGCTTTAGGAGAGTGTATGATCAAAAGAATATATATCACATATTTATGAAGTTTTAGAAAAAGCATAACAGAGGAATATATTAAAGATATACGTGTTTTTAGTGTTGGTAATTAGTTTATCATAAAATGAAATTATATTTTTCATTCAATTTTATCTGATAGATTATGGTTTATATGTCAAACAAAAACTATTTACACTAGAATTTTCACTGAAACTTCATACCTAAGTTCTCAATAATAGCCAAACTAATGTTTAGACTGATTCAAAAAGGTGTCCGGTTTGAATGGGCCAAAGTTTCTAAAGAAGCATTCGAGCGGCTGAAAAAGCTGTTGACTCCCAAATACAAATGTCTGTTGGACATGGGATCTTTAGTTGGATTTTTTGTAAATTTACGAGTAAGTATTTAATTTTGTAATTTATCACTTTATCATTATTAAATATGACTTTGATTATGTATTTATTCACAGATAGCATGTACGACAAATTCAAAGACATCTTGAAACATGAAGGCGCCACCACAAACTCCCAACAAAATCATTGGAACAATTAAAAAAGTGGATGATTTGGAAAAAAAAAAACAAAAGAAAAATATTTAATGCAGAAAAATCCTTTTTGCTCATAAGTTTTAAACTTATGTTGTTTAACTAGGTGTCTATTTATTAAATCAGGAACAAAATGATTTTCATTGTACTTGCACTTATAAATTGAACGTGATTCAATTCCCTAGTCCTGAGATGTTTAGATTTTTTCGAATCTCGAAAAACAAAATCTCTTTAGAACTTTTTCTTATTAAACAACAAAAGCAATCTCACCTCCATGATAATAATGTAAATATTAATATGAAATTATAATTAAAAATTATTTAATATATTCGTAAGAAAAAAATAATAATTTATAATATTTCAATTTTATTGGAGGAAGGAGTTAAGATAAGTAGAAGAGCGTTGCAAGCAAAAACTTCGTCGTCGTCATCGTTTGAAGAAAGGATGAAACGCGGTTTGCCTACTAAAAGAAAAATAGCAAATGTTAAGCATGTTATTGCCGTTGCTTCTGGTAAAGGTGGTGTTGGAAAATCTACAACAGCTGGTATAGCTAGTTATTTTTATATATTATCCATATCGTATAAAGTAATCCGTCGATGGATTATTCAATTAATTCTTTTTTTTTTGTTTAGTAAACCTTGCACTTGCTATTGCATCAACTTTTCATTACAAAGTTGGCATACTGGATGCTGATCTTTTTGGTCCTTCAATACCAAAACTCATGAATCTTAAAGGTCAACCAGGTCTTACACCTGGTTTGTAAAAAAACTTTTTTAAATGAAGATAAAAAAAATCATATCAACCAAGTGTATATGTAAGGATATTGGTTATTAACTTTGATATTTGTTTGGTAATGGTTTAGATGATAAATTAATTCCTTTGGTGAATTATGGAGTTAAAGCCATGTCAATGGGCTTTTTAGCTGATGAAAGTTCGCCGATTGTTTGGAGAGGCCTTATGGTAAGTCTTTAGAAATAAATAAATTTCAAAAACATCAATATTTGCAATAATAGTAACAATAATAATAATGGTAATATAATAATGAATAGGTAATGAAAGCACTTCAACAATTTCTTTATCAAGTTCATTGGGATGGACTTGATCTCCTTGTGATAGATATGCCACCTGGTACAGGTGACACACAATTGACCATAACTCAACAGATTGAATTGGATGGTAATGAGTGAATGAGTGAACTAATAAAAAAAATGATCGAAGGGAAATGGTTCTAATATTTTTGATATTTATTGATTTAGGCGTAGTAATAATATCAACACCTCAAGATTTAGCATTATTAGATGTCAGGAAAGCTATTAATATGTTTAAGAAAGTAAATGTACCAGTAAGTTTACCATTTACAGTTCATTCTTATAATAATATCTATAACAATTACTTTCTCATCTTTTTCTTCCTCTGTTTTCCAAATGTCTATTTATATGTAGATTCTAGGAACAATTCAAAATATGTCAATGTTTATATGTCCAAATTGTAATCATAAAACCCATATATTTGGTAATAATGGAGTAGTGAAATTATCAAAGGAATTAAATGTAGAAATGTTGGGCGAAATTCCATTAGATTATGAAATTTGTGATTCAAGTGATAAAGGTAATCCTGTTGTTCTTTTTCCTAAAAAAATCGATAATAACTTTATTAGAAAATCTTATGTTGATATTAGTAAAAAAATCATCAATAAAATTGTTGATAAATAGTATAAAATTTTTAATCAATTAATTTTCATTATTTATATATACGTGTGTGTAATAAATTATAATAAATCTAGTCATACAAGAATTAAAAAATAAAATAAAATACTATCCTAAAAAAATTTTAATTATGATTACAAAATAAAAAAATGAATAAAAAAGATAAATAAAAATGTACAAGTTGTTAATGTAAATTATATATAATAATGTATCTATAGATGTATGCATGAAATGAAAAAAAAAACAAATATGTATATATAAATTAATATTAATAGTCATCATATTTATAATCTTTCAACAAAACCCGGATCAACCCAGCCCCTTTCTTCAGTATCTTCTTTAACAGCATACCACCATTCTCCACTATCATGGATATGTATAATTTTGAGTAGAATGCCAGCTTCAAAATTTAATTCTCCTTTTTGTTTTGATTTATTCTTTCGAACTGTCTGACATAAAAATAAAGTATCATCATCATCATCACCATCACCATCATCATCACCATCTCTTTGTTCTTCTCCTGTAAAGGTATCATGAAATACATCATCATTGTCTTCATCGTCTGAATTATTTTGTTTGTTCCTTATTGTTGTAACTGCGCTATCAGTTGGATATTTTTTATGCCTTTCTTTTTGATTTGCTTTAATTGTCTTAAAATCAGCCCTTGAAGGATCTTCATCATCAAATAGAGCGTCAGATTTACTCTCAAGTGAACTATGCTTATCTATAAAGTAAGATTTAATAATATTAAGATATGATATTATGCGATAGATTATGTCATAAATAAATAATATGATATGTTACCTGAACGAATATTCTTGACCCCTAAATAATCACCAGCTTGTGCAGATATTGAATCTGAGTAACTGAATCTTCGTGGTGCAATATGTTCTTTTTCAACCATTTCATTATTAATTCCTGGTTTTGATATTGATTTATTATCTAGAAAGAACACAACAATATTAATTAATGTTGCATAAATTTATTCACAATAAATATTTCAAATATTTACCATCTGAGTAATTCAATATCACAAATGATTTCAATTCATCATCCATTTCCAATCTTCCATGATAATGTTCTATATACTCAGAAATAATATCAATATCTCTAAAAACCAATTTTCTATCATTTGAAACATAATCTAATGCATTACTATCAACAAATTTATAAAAATATTGTTGGAAATCCATTCCCATTTGTTCATAAAGTCTTGATTGAATTTCTATCAAATTTCGAACTATTATATCATAATATTGTGTCATAAGCTCGAAAAATTTAGGAAGTTCTTCGTTCAGTTGATCAGAGATGGATACAAACGCATCAGCTGATTGTTGCAATGATTTATCAGGCTAAATTATTAATATTATTTTGAAAAAAATTAATTCTAATTTTTTTTCTAATATTCAAATATTGATATATGACTTACAATATCGTTTCTGTCTCTGATTGATTTGGCACGACCATAATCTAAAATTTTTCGTTCACGTTTTTTCATTACAGCGGCAGGGGCTCTGAATAGTTTTAGAAATTTTTCTATTTCAGGATATATATTTTTTTTAAGTGTCTCTTCCTATTAATAATTAATTATATTAATTTATATAATTAAAATATTCACATAATTGAATATTATTAATATTATTTATTTATCTTGTCGTTAATAAAAAATGTAATACCATTTCTTTTACACAAGATGGTGCAAGACCATTCATCGTCTTTACATATTCAACTATTCTTTTATTTTCTTCTTTATATTTATTAGAAGTTATTCCAAATGTATAAAACTCCTCGATAACAAGTGCAAACCTCTGCTGGTCTTCAAGTTGTTCTATATTAAAAATATTTTCCAAAAGTAAGTTATGATATTAATTTATTATAACAATTTTAAAATTATATGAAAATATAATTTTTGTACACACGTTTAACAGCTTTAACCCAGTCTTTTACATCTTTTGATAACTGAAATCCTTGTTGTTCCAAATTTTTAAACTTTTCTACAAATGCATCATAAAGGTCATCTGAAGTAGGCTTGGCAATACCCGTAGCAAGTTTAATCTGCAAATTAATTTAATATATAGGTTTCTAACTAGTAAAAATACATTAAATATACAAGTATATACAAATATAAATATATTTACCATCTGCCCTCTTCGTGTTAATGATTTGGTAATTCCGTGACTAAAAATTTTAATAAAACGCAATTTTAGTCTATTTCAAAAAAAAGAGAATGTCCAATAAAAAATACTAACACAAGCTATTAATTAATACATATATGGATGAGTTTGTAAAAAAAAAAATTAGCATAAAATTTAATTGTTCGATCAAAAAAAGAAAAAAATAATAGGCAGATAGACGTTATAAGTAACTCACATCACCATCACCCCTTTTCTTACTTCCTACGATCTTCTCAACTATATCTTTACGTCTTTTTATTTCATTAATTCTTTCTGCTATTTTTTGAATTTCGTCGAAAGCTAATTTTAATTGATCAAAATCTGGATGTGAAGTTTTAGTGAGTGATAATATTTGCTATTATAATAGTATGATATTGTTAAATGAGGGCGAGAAGATAAATTATTAATAATAAACAAAGTTATTAGTTGATAACGAAAAAAATATATAAAAATGCATTTATAATAAAAAGACAACAATATTAATATTAATATGAAATTCGTACTTGCAATAATAAAGGATATTTTAATACACGCTGTACTGGTTTAATTAGAAGACTCGCGATATCCCAACTTCTGGTTCTTCCTTCACATTGTTTTTTACATTTCTAATAAAAAATATATTATTACTATTATTATTATGACATTCAAATCATGATAAATAAATAAATAATAACCTGTAAGAAACCTTGAACATTTTCATCATCGTCAAATTCTTGTAATTTTTGCACCGATGCTTCATGCCTTTTACAATATTCCCCATAAACTGCCTCCATACGACTTTCTCCTCCTTCTCGTTTTTGCATCTACTTCCGCCAAAAAAAGAAATCAGAAAAATATAAATGCATGCATATATATATATATGAGTGTATAAAAACCACCATCATTATACCATTTGCATAAAGGTATCTCCTAAAGATGTATCATCATTTTCATTATCAATATGTTTATCAACAGATTCATCATCATCACACTGAATTCCAGAAGCTACGAGTAATAAGTCTAAAAAGTCGGCAGAAAAATCAATGACTTCTGGAAGATTATTGAATATGATTTTACAATCATAAGGATTAAATATTGGAATTTCTTGCGCTTGAATAAAATAAACCTAATTTTAATTTTTAAAAATATTAATAATTATTGATTAAATAATTAATAATAACGATCATCATTTAGTAATTATTTAATCATTTAATTACTTCTTCTAAAAGTTCCATATCAGCGAAAAATGCTTTTTCAGTCTCCACAAGCTCTTTTATAACATTCCATAATTTTTTCCGTCGTTTTATATCTATTGTAAGTTCATCTTCTTCAACTAGCGTCACGGAAGAATTATCGCTAGAGATCCTTGGAAGCGATAATTCATTCTGTGAATTTCGATTTTGATCTGAAAAAGTAGGACTTGCTAATTTGATGGTGGATGGTGATGTTGATGTTGATGATGTTGACATTATTGATGTCGGTGAACTTTTAGTGATAGTAATAATATCAGGTGTTGATTTTAAAGGCGCAAGTGGAAGAGGTTTTGAATGCTCAAGTACTTCTGGTTCAGAATTTCTAGATACTTGTGAATCATTGAAAAAAATAGCGATGCTAGCTTTTTTCTCTTCAAAATCAACTGACGCTGTTGATTTATGGGTTGTTGAATAATCTGAAGAAGAAGAAAAGGTTTGCGTGCTGGAAGAACTATCCTGTGAACTTTTTCTTACAATTGGTTTCGGTATTGGAGGCTGTACAACTGTCTTTGTGTTACGCTTATTTTGATTTATTGTCGTTGACTCTGAATCTACTATCTTTGAATTGAAATCATCATCGCCATTATTAGAATTTTTAATTTTTTTAATTGAAATATTACCATTACTGTTATAATTATTTGTAGTGGTTTTTTTAAATTTATCTATACTAGTATTATTATTAGATGGAAAAAGAATCTAATTGGGGAATATTCAATTATTATAATTATTATTAGAAAATAGCATACAATAATAATAATAATAATAAAAATATATATTACATGATCATCATTATTATCCTGAAATTTTGCTTTAATCTCACCAAACTTTATAGAGGTCTCATCGATGTTTGATGGTTTATTATTATTACCGATTTTTATTCTTTCTTGAGAAACTATTTTCTTGTTGAGTGATTTTGTAGCTATAGGAACAGGTAACCTTGGTGATGAAGGAAGTGACAATGCAATGCGAGGTTTATCAATATTTAGTTCCTGCTGTGTACTAGAATCTTCAAATACACTTGACAATTTATTAATATTTGGGCCTCGGGTTATTGTACCAGTGTTATTACTTATTCTTTTAGGTGGTTTTAATAAAGATGTCGATGATGATGAATTTGATGAAAAAGTAGTTGAAGTAGAAGAAGAGGTGGTAGAAGAAGAGGCGGAGGAAGAAATTGATAAGGACTCGTTATCAATTTTATTTGAAGTTGTTGAAAGTCTCATTGGTTTTGGTTTTGGAGGAGGAGGTTTTGGTTTTGGTTTTGGCATGTTCTTTGAGGTTACTCTACGATTAACCTCATTTCTGTTATTATTATTATTATTAATTTTATCCATATTATATATAATTTATTTTTTTTTTTTTTTTGAAAATACTTTGATTTGTAAGATTGGATCTTTCTTTTTGTAAACTGTAAATTAATAAATATTAGTGAAATCTATAAAATGTAATGTAGACAAAGTAAATCAAGAAGGTACACCCCCTGAACCTACTTGATTAAATATAGATCTTATTTTATTTCTCCCACTGGTTATTTTTTTAAAAAATAATAGTAATAGAGAAAAAATTACGAAGAGGAAAAATAAATATTTATATTGTATTTACCGTAACTAATATTAATTGGTTATATAAAAGATAATAAAAACACGTTTCATTTATAGCATTACAATATTAATATACTTAAATTAAACTTTTTTTTTCAATATAGTTTAGTACATGTTACATATTTATTAATTTAGGAAACATGACTTACTTTTCCGCGCTATTTCGTACCACAAATCATGTCTAGAAAATTTTTTTTGGAATTTAATTGGCTAAATAAATAGAAAATTGAACAGTTGAGTCTTCCAAGCATATACCCTCAAAAACCCATTGTGATTAAAGACACTTGCCATAAATGATTGGGCTGGTAGCTACAATTGCCATAAATAGCTGTTGGTAGCTACCATTTGCATAAATAATTATGGCTGCTACTGCAAATAGATATGGCTGTAGTTGCTATAAATAGATATGGATGCTGCAAATTGTGACTGCAAATAACTACAGCTGCTGCAAATAGTGTTCAATTATTGTCATTAGTCATATATATTAGTCATGCAAAAGTTTTCTTGAATTATTTGTAATCTGCAGTAACTGAATTTTTTTGATATATTTTATAATGGTAACTACATCAAGAAATTTTTTCTGACACAAATTTACATAATTATTACACTATTTATGTAATTTTTACAGTGGGCCCCATAATATTATGCAAAAATAATACAAAATTATGCAATTATTACATTCAGTGTAAATATTACATAAATTTCTTATGTAAATATTACAACATTGCATATTAAAACTTATGGATTTAATATTAAAGTGAGAAAATTCCCTGATGTACCAGGGGTAATTATCCTATGGTAGTTATCATTGCTGCAAATAACAAAAAATCCACAAGAACACAAAAAATTTATCCTATTAGGTTGCATTTAAAAATGCATCATGTTAAGAATTATATAGAATTTTATACTTCTATCACTAAAGGAAAAAATAACAAACCTCAATATTGGAGATGTCAATGAAATTTCAGAAAACATGACAACAACAGTTATGAATATTTATCAAAAATGTCTTAAAGAAAAGACAGAATGCTCTAATAATACAAAATTAAGTGGCTCAGATTATTTTGGAATGAATAATGAAGACCACCTAAAAAGAATATCTGCAGATATAACCTTTATTCCAATTTATATTCAAGAAAACAATTTTAAAATGTTTGTAGTTGGTTCTTCACACAATAAAATAGAACCATTAGATGGTTACCATATCACATTTATAGAAAAATATAGGCATGAAACCATTTTATTTTCTCAATTTTATAATAAAAAAGGATTTCATGCTAATTTTTATTCAACAAAAACCTAGAAGAATATCAAAATTCTGATGTGAATGAGTTCTGGAAATCAATTGGAGTTTTCAATATGTTCACTGGTAGTCAACTATTTCTGTTAGAAAACATAGAATTAAAACAAAAAATTGATGAGTTAATAATTAAGAAATTTACATCAATAGAGTTCAACTATTTTTGTAAAGCTTCATCAAACATACATGATACACTTTAATGTAAAGACCTTACAATGTTAGTTTTAAATCATTTGCATAATAAAAAATCAACTTTGTTTGAATTTTATAATTTATTATACAAATTTAAAATTATTGAAAAATTCAGATGAAAATTTTTTAAGAAAAACAAGAGCTTATGGACAGTTATTGATGCAAAACAATAATGATTGATAAAAACAATGAGTATTGGTCACACTGCAGCTGATTTAGAAATATTGCAGCTTTTTTCTGAAATCAATTCAGAATCAGAACCAAAACCAGAAATAGAACTAGAACTAAAGTTTCTGCTTCTATTAGTAGCCAAAATTGCCCAAATACTTTGGGCAAAAATTATTTTTTTATAAGCCCAAACTACTTTTTGTTATTAGCCGAAATTGGGTGAAATTATTTTAAAGTTGTTTAAGTTAAAACAAGCTGATTCATATAATTTTTTAATGTTCATGCTTATAAAAAATGTTGAGAAGCCCAAATTGCCCAAACTAGTTTGGGCTTTGTGAAAACAGTTTGGACCAGAAACCTTAACTAGAACTAGAATCAACACTAAATAAAAATTTGGAACTTGAAGCACAAGTAAAAACCTTTTGTTCATGCTTTGAAGATTCAATAAATAATAATAAAGAGGAGATGAAGGTCAACAAAAACTTTTATCAATAACTGCAGGAGATTTTACATATTTAAATTAAACAAAGAACTTAAGCCCAACAAAAATTTAATAAATGCTGCTAGAATTCATGCATGATTATATGGAAAAGGTGGACAAATTTTAGAAAATCATATCAAAACAAATAGAGAAGGTTTTCTACTGACCAATTAAAAGGTCTTGATACAATGAGCTCATACAAAACTGATCCAAAATTTTTTTCCTTGATTATTAGGAAAGTAACTCTTATGATTAAAAAAAACCAAAGAGTATCTAATACCACATGTGCTAAAATTACTATGTAGCAATTTGCTACTTTGGAAATATATAATATTTGGGGCATACTGCAACAAAACCAGACAAAGTGAACATTGGTATTACCAAAGATTTGAGGGATCAAAATTTAGTCATTATCATCACATTTATAATGTGATTACAGTTCACCTTGCTTAACCATATTTCAATAAAAAAGGACTTTATTGAAGTTAAATAGCCATTATAATTTTAGAATCAGTATCCAATACATTTTCAACAAAAGGTTCAACTGACTCATTATTTTCTGTTATCAAATAAATAAAGACTTTTTATAAGTCACATGTAAAATATTCATATGATACAAATTAATGGGGGAAGAAAATTTCACCTGGGTGAGAAATAAATGTTCCCTTATATATTACACATGTAAAAATTACAACTGTAATTATTTGACCATTGTGCACAAAACATTAAATATAAAAGATATTTGGTGTGAAAATGAGCAAGATAATTTTTTAATGATTTTTTTTATTATGATAATGCTAAATTTTACAAAATAAATATTATAAAATCAAATATTTTTGTTATTAAATGAGTTTATTTATCATAGATTTCCAATGACAATAAGATTTGATTTGCTTAAATATTAAGATATCAATATTTTATCTGAGAACTTTTTGATTTCATCATAGAGTATACTGTTGAAATCTAGTTCATCTTGTTTTGTAACATATAAATATATTTTTCTTTTAAGGATTAATAGTTTGTCTATTAAGTTTTTTAGGAAGTTTTGGATAAATCCCTTTTGTTGAATAGACATAATTTTGAAAATTTTGCTGGGTAATGGTTTACTAGAAATTGAAAAAGTTCTTCAGAGTCAATCTACTTTTCATTACTAACCAAATATAGTCCCTCAAGTTGTTCACATGATACCAAAATTTGCCTTATATCTTTGACATCAGAATTGAAGTAGTTAGGTAATGCAAATTTTGATAACAATATTGAGCTATTGTTTCATTAAGTTGTGATAATTTTTTCTTCATCTGGAAAATATAAAAAAATTTTACACATGTCAATTGTAAGTTTAATAATAAAAAAGTGTAAAACTTACGTCGGCACTGTAGGATTTACACAATATTACGTCGGCATCATAAGATTTATGCAAGTTTACGCTAAATTAATTTCCTGATGTTGCCATTTGGCCAGAACCCATATAAATCAAGAACTTTGATTTGTGAACAAAATTTTGTTAAAAATTTACTAAGAACATTCAAAGATGGCAATCTTATACATGCAGCCCAAAGTATTTTGACACTGTCATAAAGTGGTTACACATGTAGTAAAGGGGTGTTATGCTTATGTTTTTAATAGTGAATGCCATAATTAATTTCTACTTTCTACCATCAAAATTGGAATAATTTTGGCCATCAAAATCACCAAACCATTTTGGGCTGCATGTATAGGTAATCTACTTCCAATCCTAAGTATTTCCAGTCCTTTGAAAGTAGTTGACATACACATATCTTGGAAAAGGTCTTCTATATTATCATTCACCAAAATCTCCAATACATCAGGTTTGAAAAATGACCAGTTGTTTCTGGTGGAAAACATAATGATCCTCCAGTAAGAGTAAATTATTTTATAGAACTTGATTAATGATTTACTGATTTCTTTGTGTAGTTCTAAATTAACAACATTATAAACAGAACCATATACCACACATTCTAAATATTTTTGTAATGAAATCAAATATGCCAATCCCCTATTATCACTTTTTAAATCTTTCCTAATAATAAGGCCACCATCCTTCTTATTATGATCATCATTTCATTAATAAAAAGTTTGATAGAGCACATTGATGTTAAGTGATAATATAAATGTGGTGATGTGTGTTGTCACAATGTAACTCATAAATTTGTGAAAAACATTTCCTAGCTCCTGATAGATATAGAAATGGTATATCAATCTTACTTATGTATAACTTCTTAAATGGTGGACAAACCTTCTGTAAACATTCAAATAATTATCACAATTATTTAAAAATGTTCAGATATTTATTTAACAATGTTAATGAACTGATAATTTTATTGTTGTAAAATTATATAAAAAGTTATCTTTATTTGTTTGAATTTTACTTCTTTAAATAATAAAAATACAATTCTTAAAGTATAAATATAAATCATAAGAAAATAAATAAATATATTGTATGGAAGCTTATAGACTTCCCTGAAAGTATAATCATAATTTAAAGATAACTTCTTTGATTATAAATAATATAAATATAATAATAATATGAGTATATTCCCCATAATATAACATAACAATATAATATCCACATTCCTTAATAAAAATAACAATGATAACAATAATAATATACAGTGTGTTGCGAAAAAAATTGCATGTGAATTATAAAATTGGTTTTTATAATAAATAAAAAAATACATTTGTTTACATGATTACCATTTTTGTAAATGTTTATTCATTTCTCTTAAATCATCTTTACAAAAAAGAAAATCTTCCTACTTCATTGTTTACTTTGTTTAAACCTTGCAAACATGGTCAATAAAGAATTTGAGGTGCAATGTCAAACAATTCTACATTACTGGCTAAATGGAATTTGTACTGCCAAAGAAATACATGAAAAAACAAAGATCTCGCTTTGTACCATTCAGTACAATATCAAAAAACTCAAAGAAAAAGGTACTATTAAACATATTGGTGGTAATGGTCACCATTATAAGGTTACACAAACAGTTTCGTGGTCAATCAGGCAATTAGTTTGCCATAACTCTGCAATTACAATATGCCAACTTGCAGTTCGAATTCAAGATACACATAATGTATCTATTTCACATACTAATATCTGGTGACACATGGCAAAAAAAGGGTATAATAGTGCCATACCACTTTCCACCCCAATGCTTACCATTAGTCATATTGATGCTTGAAAAACATGGGCACAAACTCATTTTGAATGATGACTGGGATTATGCCATTTTTACAGACGAGACTGCCTTTGATTTATTTCGCAATAAAATTTCAAGATGGTATAAAAATGGAGAAAGACCAGTTAGAAGATTACCAAAATCATGACAAAAGGTAATGGCTTGGGGTGGAATTTCATTGAATGGCAAGACCCCCTTGTTTTGCTTTACAGAAATAATGGATGGTCCTTTTTATGTGAATATTTTGCAAAACCAGCTTCTTCCTGCTGCTCAACAGCTGTATGGTAGAAACTGGTGTTTGCAGCAAGATAATGATCCTAAGCACACTTCGTGTGTTGCAAAAAACTTTTTATCCCAAAATAATATTCATGTTTTAGACTGGCCATCCAACAGTCCCGATCTGAATCCCATTGAAAATATGTGGCAGATCGTAAAAAATAATGTAGAAAGAAGAATGCCAGAAAATACTAGTGAGTTGAAACAATTTATGGTTGAAGAATGGGATAAAATCCCCCAAGAAACTGTACAAAAATTTAATTAAATCTATGAAAAATCATTGTGAATTAATATTACAAAAAAATGGAGATAGAATTTCTTATTAATTTTTTTGCATCTAATAAAATAAATAATGGGCTTTCAAATGAATATATTTTTATCTAATTTCAATTGCGTGATTGTTGAGATATATGTTTTTATTTATGCACAACTTTTTTTGCAACACACTGTATGTATAATTCTTAAAAAATGAATTCCACTGATTACCAAATATGGTAATAAAATTAATTGCCATTTGTGTGACATATTATTTTGAGGATTGTTACACCTTCATTAGCATTTGATAAAAGTTATATTTAATAATATGAATGAAATATGGAAGAGAATCTGTGTTATCATCATCATTTTTCTTTAGTCTCAAATACCCAATCCAGATGAAAAGCTGAAAGCACTTGAATAAAACTTGGATACATCCGGAAAATATAAAAAAAATTTACATGTGTCAATTGTAAGTTTAATAATAAAAAAGTGTAAAACTTACATCAGCACTGTAAGATTTACACAATATTACATCGGCATCATAAGATTTATGCAAGTTTACGCTAAATTAATTTCCTGATGTAATTAAAAATTGGTAATGGTAGATGATAAATATCTTCTAAAATAATTGTGCCATCATTTGGTAAAAATTCTTTCCCTGCATGAGCTATCAATGATCTCAATAGTGTTGAGAAAAGTTTAGCACCACGTTTTGAATCAGTCAGTGGATCAAGATATCTTTCAGTGTCTCTCCATAAGATTCCAACTGCCCATGTGCACCATACTCGATTCACCAATAAACATAAATGTGATGAGTTCATATCATCTTCTGAATATTCAAATATATATTTTATGCAGCTGTCTGGTAGTGAAATACAAGTTGTTCTTGGTAAAGAGCATGTTGTTCCTTTCATGTTACTTGATGTTTAACAAATAAAATTGTTAGTGTGAACTTTAAATTTTAAACTAGAGTGATGACAAGTGGTGATAGCCACCACCACCATCCTTATGATTATCTTGTTGTCTTTTATTATGCAACATTTTGTTAAAAAAGAAAAAGAAAGTTGATTATTTGATCAACAAACATGTACACACATTAATTATTTATGTATGGAAACCCCTATTGGACAGACATGAATTGGTTTGGCTCTGAAGCAGATGTATTTATAGGTATTTTTTTTATTTGTATTGATGTGTCTTTTAAGTATTTTAATTGAAATCAAAATGTGGAGCAGATCTTACTGGGTAATTATAAGATCCTTATCAAGATAGTAAGTACACAAATTGGTATTCAAAAAGGACTGGTGCTCCAAAAGGTGATACACTTGGTTGAATATAACCTTTTTTTGATAAGTCAGTCAATTGCTTTTTTAATTCATCTAATTCTGTATAAGACATCTTGTAGATTGGGCGGATTGGAGGTTCTGTCCCTGGAACAAGTTCTATAGTGTGATCTATGGCATGTTTTGGTGGTAATTTCCCTGGAAGTGTTGTAGGAAAAACATCAGCAAACTCTTTCAAAATCTTGTTTACCTCTGATATAATATCCTTCTTTATTAACATAAACAGCAAAAATTTCTTCAGAATTGGGAATCTTTGAAAATTGTTGTCTAGGGATATAAACAGAATTACAACTTGTTTCACTAGAAGTTTTGTGACCTTAATTACAATTTTCTTGGTACTGTTGTACGTGAAAATAAAATTATGTGAATTTGCAATTTACATATGTGAAATTCAAATTAGCCAATCAGAATTTCACCCCATTCCATAATATTTCAAATTCACATACAACAGTACCATAAATGAAAGTCAAGGTATTTGCTTGCCAATCTATAGTTGGATTTGCATGATATAACCAAGGCTTTCCTAAGATAATATCATATCTCTGTATCTTCATCACTTCATGTCTATTCCTGATGTTTGATAAATTCCTAATTCTAAATTTTTAATTTCTACAATTCTATTTGTTGTTGATTTTCATTCATCTGCTAGTTCTAATTTCATAGGCAAAATCTCTTTTGTGATAATCTTATTCTTTAATACAAAATTTTCATTAATAAAATTTTTAGAAGCTCCACTATCAAGTAATAATCCATGCTGGATATCCATTAACCTTGCCTTTGAATCTCAACAAATTTTCTCAATTACCCTCAGCATTGACCAATTCTAAACTATTAGTTGATGATGGTGATGATGGTGGTGATGAGGATGGTAATGATAACTCTATAGTATTAACCTTAAATTTTGTTCTTGGCCCAACAATTCTTAGTGTAATGGCCTGGTTTCTCACATTTATAACAATTTCCTTTAAAACTTTTTTATTGTTTTCTCTATTGTTGTCATTATTAATATTATAGAAATTTTGTCAAGTTTCTACCTGATCCAATTCCATAGGTACGTATTTACCATTACCATTGTCATTACTATTACAGTCAGGGTTTTTACCAAATTTGGAAATCGATTCTAGAATGATCTACATAATTTTAATAGGCTCTTGTGCATTCATTTCCGTTGTAAAAACTTATGTTTCATGTGACTTTACACAAATAAATTTTGTTGTAATTTTAAACCATATCATAAAAATAAACAAACAAGTATTCATATTTTAATAATCACCAAAGAGTTTGAAATAATCACCCAGACTTCAAAAAGTAAATGAGAGC